TAAAAGTGACTAGTATTTTTATTTTACTTAATTTGCATATATTTTATTTTCTAGAAAAACAAAACCACACAGATGGCACCATTTGGTATCTATAACTTATACATATATAAATAGAAGGCAAAATTAGTGAGATTTGAATGTTGCGTGATTTTTGAAAATAGAGATTATAGAATAAGGCTCTCAGAAAAAATAGTCAAATATTTAGGATCTCTACTATATGGAAATTAGAATTTTAATGCAGAAATTGGACAAACGCCTACGGTTAAATATATATATATATATATAACCTAATACACACGAGACCGCCTCTCTATATCTTTTGTCTGTCATGCTGTGTGTGTATCTCATTTTCTCTTTCGCGAAACTTCCAATCAGTCATTGGGTCAGCGCCATGAATTTTAATCGTCTCTATCCTTCTCTCTTTTAAAACGTCTGTCAACGATGTTGGATATATATCTTCCCCAAAAAGGAGAGAGAGAGAGAGAGAGAGAGAGAGAGACGTGTGAGATTGTAGAAATCTAGGAGGCAAAAAAAAGGAAATTAGAAAAGATTCTTCCCTCCCCGTGTGTATATGGCAGCTGCATTTTAGCGTGTTGCATGCGTTCCCGAGGTTTCGAATTGGCTCAAGATTATAGATGCGTCGCGGCGATCACAGACAAACGTTTAAATCGCTAAACGTCAAATTACGCGGTTCTCTCGTTCTGGCAACCATAAAAAATAATAACATGCTCCGTATAGATTCGAATAGCTTTCTGTCGGGTTGTCTTGCAAACAGCTGCCATAAGAATATATATGTATAGTCGACAGAAAAGACGCTTTTAGGACTTTTTTTTCACCCGTTTCGAATTCCGTATATATCTATGATTATACCTCTCTACTGTATATCCAGAAGTTATATAGATATGATGAAGTCGCTCTTGTATATAATTGCAATATTGAATCTTTATGTCCCTGTAGATAAACGATAAACTTGCGGTTTTCAAATGGAGGCATCAACTTTCCAAATGGATAAATGTACATCAGCGATTTTGTATGTGTCTCTTTATAATATCTAATGTTGACCAATGACATAATGATAGTATATTCAAATTTTGAAATGGCAATTCAATAAGAGTTATGTTTCATAAATGCGCCTTTTATCTTACGTAACGTGAATTGACCTCTGTGAACTAGAAGCTCGAAAGATGTTTTGCAATTTGTCAGGAATTTATGTTATAACTGATGATGAAGTGGGATATAACACTTATTGAAGAAAAGGAAATTTTCATTGAAGAAGGTGTATAGACATATATACTTTATAAGACAAATTGAAGAGTTCTTCTAAGATCTGATATATAGAAGGAGGAAATATTTGCTTCGGATGAACTCGGTACAAATCGGATTTTTGATGTTTGTGTGCGGAATAAATAAACCAAATAGAAAAAAATACGTAAATTAAAGAAAGTTTTTTTAAGGAAAAAAATGGTAATATTCTTAATATTTTGAGGAATACTATATATAGATGTTACGTCTCCTTATACTACTTCGAGCTTAACTCCAATAGGTAGGAGCCAAAGAATTTTCCTTTTTTGAAGCAATTTTATTTCAGACCCTATTAAGAAATTGACAATTACCAATGAGAAATAATACAAATCATCAAATTTTATTTCCATCAGCCCGGGATGAAAAATGTTGGTATTCCAAAAGTAAACTTGAGTCACATAGTATTCGAATAAGTATTCCTCCATGCCAAAAGGTAGACTGTGGAATACTTTGAGAAAAGTTACTAAAGTAAACTGATGGTATACCAAGATCTACCACATAGAGAGGAGAGTATACCGTTCGTATACATATTGGGATATTATATGAATTTTTCCAAATTATCTTGTAATGAACTCCAAAGATAGAGTTCTAATGGTGTCTACTAGATGCCGCATTGTCATATAGACAAAAATTCTTCTTAATAATAAATGTGAATAAAAATAAATAATATTAAATGATAATTAATTTATTCATTAAATATTTTTTGATACATATAAACACCAAATATACACAAAATTTTTTCCTTAAATAACATAATTATACATAATATGTAATACTTAATTATTTAATATACAAGTTAAATATATTACCATATAATATTTAATAAAATATAAATTTCTGTTTATGTAAATAAAAAATATATGAAATACTTACTTGTTTTTTTAATAATTTTTTCACCATATGATTTCGTACCATTGGATGGGTAATTTGTCATTAATGAATTGTGTCACTTAGTGCAGGATTTTTTTAGTTAAAGAATTATCTTACATACTTCAAATTATTTCGTTTAATAAAAAACTTTAAATATTACATTAAAATAATAATTAATAAATAAATTCTCAATAAATTCTTCACTTTAACTCACTAACTACCGATTGTAGGTTCTCCTTCGTTCCTGGCAAATGCTATAGAAAGCAACTGAAAACTTGAAGGTCTGCCTTAGGAAAATTTTTAAAAATACTAAACATTTAAAAACGTTTTCTTCCTTTCTTTGCATCTTCAAAATTCACACCAGATGTGGCAAACCTTTAAAAATGAAAAAATACTCCAATCTCTGCTTTAGAGTAAAAATATTTTGCAGTATTAATAAAAAATCTTTCTTCTTGTTATCAGTTATGTTTAGTAGTTCTTACTCAAAATATAATACTAAAATTTAAATAAAATACTGTAAATCTCAGTTCATTATGTATTATTTTATTTATTTATTAGTGCCATTCTAATTTTTTACTTCTGCTATCTATGTGTTGTATCACCAATTAAGTATCCAAAAATTCAGAGACTGCAGTATTCATTTTATTTACTCCGGAAGATGTTCATACTTTTAAGAGACCTCTGAAGACCTTCGAAATTACTCTGAATACTTTGGTATACTTAGGAAACTAAGATGATCCATTTGAAGATTCAGCTTAGTTTACTCAGTGTACTGTCATATCCGTTTCGAATATTACGGAAGACGTTCAGGTATACATTGGAGATTATGTATACAAGTTAGAATACTATTTGGTATACCCTATATACTTTCAATACCGTTTGGAATACTATTTCGAATATTCCGATTACTGCGTATACTTATTCGAATACTATTCATTTTATCGCGGGAGACACCACTTTTGAAGACCAGTTCCATCTCCGCACCTTTGCGGAAGATTTATCATATCAGACACACCATCTAGATCAATCCTCATATATACTACTTGAAAGATTCTCTGCGGGGTTACTTCCATAGCTTCCTCAAGCACAGTAGAAGAACATACATATATATATATATATAAACAACAAATGTAGGTACTACTTGTATCGAAGGTTGGAGGAGGGATGATAGGAGAGGGTAAGTGGTAATCTTTTTTAGTCGTGCCTCCCAAGCACACTATGATTATACACACGAGTTACTGCAGGTTCTAAGTTGGTGTCCGTCTTTTCTGGACCCAATCCAACACCAGGCAGAAGTGAAAAGGGAGGAGGACACAGTGGACCTGAGAAAAAGGGAGAGAGAGAGAGAGTTAAGTAGAAGGGGAGTGAGTTTAGGTCGTGAGGAGGAAGCGGGAGGTCAAAGAGGAAAGACGAGGAGGAGAAGAAGAAGAAGGAGGAGGATATTGGAGGAGAGGGTGCACAAGAGCAGAGGTTACTTTTAATGTCTCGCGTCACGCAGCCCAAGGCACAAGAGTGAGCCTCGCCTCGTCTCCTTACTAATTTGGCGCCAATTTCCAAGCAACCACCCAAGCAAAAACTAACCGAACCATATACTGGTACTCTCACTCTCTCTTCTTACTCCCTGGGCTCTGATTAAATGCTACCCGCCAATGCCTGACTGTTCCCACACTCTCTGATATTTATAAGTATTGCTGTGTGTATATATCTGTGTGCATCATGCCCTTGCTCCTGAAGAGATCTCTTTCTTGTGCGTGTTGTGTGTACTATACTCTCAAGAGTCCAGGACACTGCACCGTGTACCACGTGCGTGCAAACCAAAACTTAGTGTACTACTACGATCCTCCCTCTTCTTTTGCTTCTCTTTTTCCTCCAGCCACCTCCTCTTCTTCTTCTTCTTCTTCTTTGGTCTCCAAGCGACCCGGATTCACGACCTTGCCCTTCTTCATGCCCGCATAATATATATTCCCAGATGGTCTGTTCTATTGGTTGCAATTTACATTTATAGAAATTGAATTTATTTTTTTCTTTGATAAGACTGAACCAGCAGGGAGTCATCTAGAGCGAAAGATATTGCGATTGAAAACCTATACAGCCTAGAGTTGTTTGTGCGGTTTATACCTCTGATTCTATCCTAGCGCCTGCTTGACTGTTTACCCATTTTCAATGCGTGCATGTTCTTTTGCCTGCTTATGTATTCTCATCCTCTTGAAATGTGCCTCAAGCTTAAACCTTGATTCAGAAATATACTACTATATGCGCGGCACCATTACAACTCTTGGAGACAGGATTGCCATTAAAATTGCGCCTTCTGCTTTTGTTATTTGCATAATCATCAATATCATCAAAGATCATTGTGTCGAATGACCTCTAATTTTTTCTTATTTTGTAACTGATTTTTTTTTTTAAATAGTTGCCGTATGTATATCTTTGAGGCAAATAACTCTACAAGGTTGCAGTTTTTTTGATTTATTACTGATTGAATCGGTATATATTTAAAGATTTGAAAATTTTAACGACATTGTTAGAAAATCTGGAAATCTATAAATACACTATTTTAAATATTATGAAAATAATAAAATTTAATTAATTGTCAATATGAAGTTGACTGACGCCAAAGAAACCAATTATTAAATTTAAATATTTTCGTAATATGAGACAATAATAGAGATTTTAAATGTTAATTTTTGAAATTTTCTATTTTAAAAATTTTAAAGTCGCATCCAGTGTTAAATTCAATTTCAACAATTTGCAAAATTTAACAATCGATAATCGACTGTCAAAGGGAGGTTAAACTTCCATCAAAACGTAAACAAATATTCGTTTAAAGAATGACAACAAAAGAAAATTGGAAACCAAATTGGCACCGAGGTGGTAAAGCCACAGACGTTACATGGATTGGAAAATACACAATGGCATGGTGTTCTGGTTTATATATTATATTTTACAATATTAAAAAAAATCAACAATTTCTACGATGGTGTTCAAAATCGTCAAATGGCGAAGGTGCTTGTTGTATATCAAGTCATCCAACATTAAGTATTTTTGCATATGCAGAAAAAATTATCAATCCTCGAATACTTGTCTATTCATATCCATCGATGACTAAAATAACGGAATGCAATGAAGCAAATAGAATAGGTTATTTGGCGACAATATTTACAGAAGATTTTCTAATATCATTGGATACTTATCCAAATTTTACTCTCACTATTTGGTCCTGGAGAACGGGGGAGCAATTAAAATCAATTAGTACCACGATACAAGATGACGAGTGTCAGGTATTACGTAAAAATTATCAACAGACAATTCTTATTGCTCAAATGGGTCAAAATTTGGGAAAATTGTGTATATGGGACGTTGCTGTTGTGGGAAAGATGATAATTTTAAAAGATTATAAAATTGTTTTACCCAATGAGGCATTAGTGAGTGACGTGAATTGGTGTCCAAATTCTGATGATTTACTTGCCATCACCGATAGAGATGGACATATTTATTTGTCAAATCGAGATGGCAGTGTTATTGAACGAATTGTCCTGTCGCAACATTGTGGTGTTTGTCCAACAATTGAACCACCGGCTATTTGTTGGTTTGCCAATGGTATTGTTCTTAAAACAACATTTTGTCAAATTCGTTATTATAAGAAAATTAATGATTCTGTTTGGCAGAAAAAGTGGTATGTTAAAACAACAACAAAACCTTGTGTTCTAACTTCGTTGCCATTTAGAAATGATAGATTATTTTTTCATACTTTGGAAGGACACTTGATGGAATTATCTTTTATCGATGGTGAAAATACACCTTTAATTGAAACAAGAATTTTTTACGGAGGATTTGTAAAATATGTTGATTTCATATATCCCTGGGGACATCATTTGGTGATTGTTGATAATTTTGTATCAATTGCTATTATTGATTCTGATGGTGGTATGGAAATAAGTAGATTCGATTTAGATTTGGAGAATATTACTTGTGTTACATCACATCCGGATTATCCAATGGTAGTGGTGACATCTGAAAATGGAGAAGTAATTTTGATAAGTGTACTTGATCCATTGAAACCGAGGATATTTGCTCGTTTTCATTTGCAAAAGGAGAAATTGGATTTATTGAAATTTTCCCAATCTGGCAGGTATTTATATTTGTAATAAATATTTCCGATGTTATTAATATTAATATTCAGATTTTTTTAAATTCCTCAGAATTTGAAAATCTGTTCTTTACAGATTTTTATTAGTGGGAAATAAAGAAACTGGAGTTTTATATTGTATCAAATTGTCTAAAAAAGAAACCTATTCAATAATTGGAGAATTGTCAGTAAAAAACTTAATTTCCGATTTGTTTGCATTCGAAACAACAAATTCGTTGAGAGTTTATCTTCTACAACAAACAGAAGATATACCTGCTAGTAATCAATTATTTGTCTACGAAATTTTCCAAAATGAAACCAAATTTAGAAACAGTTTTAAAGTCATAAACTTTAGGGATTATTTTTGTAATTTGGAGTACGTTCCTGAAAATCCGTTTCTACTGATTGGTACACCTTATCTAACAAAGCAGCTTCATGTTTTGAATCTCAAAAATTGGCAAGATTTAAGTATCGACAGTGTAATGAATTCTTGTCATCAGATGAAACAAAGCTCTGTGTTTTCTGATCGAAATTGGATCACAACTAGTGGAGCCGATGGACTTGTTATTGTACGAGATAAAATGATAGAAACTGCAAAAATAATTCTAATGACTCATCATAGAAAAGATTATGGTGTTACAAAATCAATGATGAAACCTTCTGGTGATTTATTAATAGCCCTAGGAGCTGATGGTTCACTTGTAGCGTTGAAATATTCCGCAAAGGATTCAAAAGATAAGGAACAATTTCATGAAGTATTTTACAATAATTATGAGAATTCGAAAAATTTTACAGATTATCGTTCCTTGGATTCGGTGATATTTGATATGCTTTCACGACCTCTTCAGGAATTTGCACCATTGGAAGAGCGTCAAAATCTAACATGGCGGGAGTGGATTCAAAAAAAGATAATCCAAGAAGAAGAACTTACGTGTGCAAACAATAGAGCGGCAATTTTATCAGAGTTTGAAAATATCAAAACTAAAATCGTGAAATTAATAGATGAAAATGAGAAATATTTGGATATTGAAAAATTACCGATATCGGCTTTTGATTTGGATAAAGTATTACGTGAACAAAAGACAAAAACCGCTAAGGATGAGAGAGAGGACACTCGTTTGGAATTGGAGTACAATTGTAAAAAAATGGATGAATTGTCCGATTGGCTAAAGGCTAAATATTGGGATTCACAGGTGAATTTGTCAAAATCGATATTTTCCATTTTTGGTACAACGGAAGTGGAGAATTACACTAATGACTCGTTTAAGCCATATCACAAGGAACAACAAAGATGGGCTGTTTTTAATAATGATATAATTAATCAATTGAGAAAAAAAGATTCATTTGCCCCTTGGCGTTTGTATACTAAAATGGAGCTCAATTTAGAATTGGAAAAAGTTGGAAGACTACCAATAGAAGATGAAAAAGAACGAATGGATGCTCTTTTAGAAGCTCATGATGAAGAGGCTAAAAGTCAAAAAAACAGAGAATTGGAAAATCAATTGGATAGTGAAGGTATAAAAATTAAATATATTTTTTTGTATAAATATGGTGAATTATTAATTCATTTTTGTTTTAAGGATTAACAACTCATCGTTACGTGGAGCCATGTAATCAAATTTCTCAATTTGCCTGCTACAGTTATTCGCAATATTATTTAGAGAGTATATTTCAAGAAATTGATGCGACAAAATTACGTGATTTTTGGAATAGTCAATTTGAAGAAATGTTTGAAATGAAGGAACGCGAGATGTCATTGATTCGTGAGAGAATAGAGAAAATTGAATATATTGACAGTGAATTGAGATTAATGTTTAGTCAAACTGTACCCGTAATGCCAAAATATCCAAAATGGGAATTGAAAGAAAATCCTGAAAATATTATCACTGTTTACGATTCTGAGGTATCAGTAAAACCCTATATTTCACCATCGGAACAGGAAATTTTAGATCAAAAATTAGCCGAAGCGGAACATATTAGACTTCTTTTGTTGGCTGATGATTTTCGTGAGAAGGCACTGATGAAAATGATGGATGGTGTTTTGGAAGTTCGTTGGGAAGATATTATCAAAAAAGATATTCCAAAACCAGCCTGTTTGCTAAAACCTTCTGATCAGTATACAAAAGAAGATATTCTCACCATTAAACAATACGAAAAAGATGTCGAAATTTTAATTCAAGAACGTGATAAATATCGAAGAATTTTAGAAATGGATTTTGTTAAAATTAACGAAATACTTTGGGAAGGAATTGATAAATTTAATTCTCGTTTGGAAGAAGCATTTCAGGTGAATTTTCTAAAATTTTTAATTTTATTACTATTATTATTATTATTATTATTATTATTTTTTTCCCCCCTTATAGCTAAGAATGAAAGTCGAATCAGCAATAAAACAACAAAATTTAAAAAACGTTCGCTATTGTTTACGACATTTACATCGACTTGATTTTACAAAAAAAGAAGATGAAATTAGGGATGAAATTGAGATTGAACAAAAATTATTGACTGAATTAAATAATGATATTCATTTAATTCAAAATGAAATTCATGATCTACAGATTGTTGAAGATAATTTTCATCTTCGTGAGAAAACAATGGAGAAAAAATTTAAATCCGAATTTCCAGGACTTAAGAAAGGTGTCTTGGAAAAACTGAAAAATCACTATAAACGAAGACCTCGTATAATTTGGAAATATTTCAGTCCTAATGATTTTGTCGATCTTGGAAATGCCATTGTCATGCTGACAAAACTAGTACAATTATCCCCTGAGTGTATGGATTATCTGAAGGGTCTCAATCATTTGGATACTAAACCAGGAAGTTTACCATCTTCAATAACTGATAATCATTGGGAAACTTTTGTTCATCTACGGAGACTTAAGATTGTCATTGAGATGAATATTAAAGCACAAGAATTAAAAATCAGCAGGGCAAATAATATACTATTGGATTTTAATAAAAAAGCAACAAATTGTCGACTTCAAATTGAAAATCTCAAGAAAAAATTAAATGCCTCAAAGCAAGAACGAATTGATTATGAAAGTAATATTGAAATACAATTGGTTTTAAAAATGGGACAAGTTGAAATTAAATCACAATTAACGAGTCAAGATACAATGAATAGTGTTTTAATTCCAAGATCAGAGATTTTGATGGTGAATGAAAAAATTTTAGAAATTGGAACACAAAAGTTGAATGCAATTAAACGAACATTGAATTTTAAAAGGGGTATTTCACTTAAAGAATGGGAGCATAAATGTTTAAAAATGAAAATTGACGATTTAAAAGAAGAATTACATTCAATTGAACGAATTCAAGTTACCAAACAAATTCAATTGTTTCTCAAGCGTAAGGCAAGGGGTTTTCCCGATGATAAGACACCACAAAATTTAGAGAGACAATTGGAAGTCACGAGACGAGCTTCGGAAAAAGTTTTAAACGATTGGATTATAAAATTGAAGGATGTTGAGAAACGAATAGAACAGGTGCAAATGAAGAATGAAACGCTCGATAGTATGATTATGAAAATGAATGTGGTTAGATGTGAGATGGAGATGAAACGAGATCTTATCGGTGAAGCTAAGCATCGAGAAGTGTTGGACAAAAAGATGACGATATTTATGAAAAGATCAAATCTCATTCAAAAATTACAAGATGGTTATGTTGAATATTTGTCACTTCAAAAGGAACAAGAGTCGTTGAGAATGAAACAATTTCCTGAACTTATTTGTAAAGCATTTGATAATAATGAAAATGTTGATAAAGTGTGATATAGATGTGTTAGTTTTTCATATCATTTTAGAATTTTGAAAATTATTAAACTTATATTTTGAAAAATAATTTTCTTTTTCTATTACAATAAATTTTTTTCAACCATCAAAATTGATAAAAAAAAGAAAATTGAAATTTTTTTCAAAGTATGAAGAATAAAATATGAGTGTTGAATGATGCAAATGATGAGAGGCGTAAAAGTGTTATGCTACATATCAATTTAATCTGAGAAGTTCCAGGTGTTCCAGCTACTTTATAAAAAAAAAAGTGGAACATCATCCTAGGACGATTAGATCTTAGGGTACCACACAGATATATATATATTTTTTTTCACTTTTTCCTCTTCTTCTTCATCATCTTAATCTAAAAGCCTTGATCCGTTGATCGAGTGACCTTAAAGACACATTCCATCATGAGATTGAAGGTAAGAAATATATTATAAATAATGTTATTAACGATGATATGATTTTTATTAATGATCATATCGTGATAAGCGTTCACGCTATAAATATTTTGGTTGTTGAATTCTTCTTTGTCGCGTCTTTTTCATTCACTGGCTAAGTGACACTCTTTATAGAGGGCAGTCGTTGTCGTCTTTCGATTCATTTATTACCACTAGTTCCCTGTCAACAAGCGGACAATGTAGTCACCGACCGGAAACATGAAAGAGGATTTTGAAAAAGGCTTTAAAAAAAATTTTTTTTTTTTTCAACCTTGGCAGGTAGTTTATATGCGTATACATCAATTTAAATGTGATATATAATTTTTTTTTTTTATCAATTTTTCAATTGAAAACGTTATAAGCTTAAAGTTTATTATATTGGAAAAAAATTTATTTTTTCAGGATATATATATTTGATACAAGCAGCCTACCACCATAGGCAAATTTATTTAATTTTTATCTTTATAGTGCTTTTCAATATTTGAAAATTTAGGGTCAGCCGGGGTAAATCCGAACGCTTTTATTTTAGTAAGTTTCAACAATAACATAAGTTTTTTCTTTTAAAAGACAATACTTCCGGTATACGAACGCCGCACTGTATTTCAGAAAAATCTTAGGGAAAATAAATTTAAAGTATTGCAATTGTTAAACTTATATAAAAACTCAAAAAAAAAAATACGATAATAAACCTATTATGTAATAATGCATCATATATAAATACAAAAATCAAACAGGTTAAAAATTAAAATGCATTACACAATTAAAACCTTCAATGACTTTATCAAATCATAAAGGATTTTTGCAAAACTTGGTACAGAAAGTATTTTGGAGTGATTGAATGTAAATACAAAAATAAAAGTCAAATTTTTTAAATTCAAAATGGCGAATTCAATATGGCGGACTTTCCTAAAACTTGTTTTTAAAAATGATCAAATTTGCTAACACCAAATTCGTAATCAGCGACCCTGAAACCCCCCGAGTAACAATTTTTGAGCGAATCCAATGAATTTTTTAATTCTCGGCTGCCATATTGGATCCGCCATTTTGAATTTTGAAAAACTGACTTCAAATTGGTAATCAGCGACCCCAAAAACCCTAGAATACCAAATTTTATTAAGATCCTGAAAAACTTTTTTCTATAAACCATTTGGCAAAAAAAGTGGAACACTCCTTCGAGAGAACAGAGATTAAGTTTCTGCTTATTAATTACTAAATAGTATACATATAGAAAGAAAAACTTTTTTCTATGTACTTTTATAATGTTAAAATAATAGTGTAATCAAATAAAAACAATTTTTGATATAAGAAAAAATTATTAAAAATACCGTTCGGATTTACCCCGGTTTTCCAATTTTCCGGGGTAAATACGAACGGTCTGATATTATTAATAAAATTTTACAGAAGGCAAAAATAAAAAATAGTTTCTGTTCTAGTATTCATAACAAACAATTATAAATAATAAAATGAATTTTTAGCTTCTTTTTCTTCAAATACGAGACAAAATACTGAAAGAGTGTCATCTTTGATTTTCAATCTTTTTTTGCAATACTCGTTATCTTTGTTTATGCTGCTGCTAATTAACAAACGAAAAATGGGATAATACTTAGAATCTCTTGAAGAGGATCTGAGATAAAAATTCTCATGTCTAACTTATTTTTTTTTAAAATTTTAATTAAGCTGAAATAATTAGCGTTCGGATTTACCCCGACTGACCCGAATTTTTAATTAATAGAATTGTTAAGACACCGAATTTTTATTTATCCGAAATTATACAAATGACCGAACAGAAAAAATCGACAGAAAGATTTCGGCGCAATTTTTAAAATTAACTAATCACAATTTTTCTTGATAATTTCTATAATTAAGTTAATTTTTGAAAATTGTGTCGAAATCTTTCTGTATTCATTTTTTGTTCGGTCATTTGTAATTTAGGACAAATAAAAATTCAGCGTCTTAAAAATTCGTCTAAATAAATATATGAATTTTTCTTTGTATAGTCATATAGGACGAATGTCATAAATAATTTAAAAGTTTGAAAAAGAATTTTCGTATGGTAGACAGCAAGTGGGTTTAGTTAAACGAGTGGCCTGGATTTGCAGTTTTCAGTTTGTGTTTCCCAGTGAATATATATATATATATATATATTTCCTATGGGCAAGTATAGCTGTGCGGATATATCGGAAAACCCGCAGCACTGGCACGGCACTCCAATCAATGCAAATCAAATCGAGAGCCGTGAATACGAAGCGCGTATAGTCAAATCAACCGTATAAAAGCTTCATGAATGTAAAAGACTGGTGAATGTTAACCGTGCGAGCCAATCTGGTAATGCGGCTCCCCCCCGGGGAAAAATAACGCGTTACTGCGAACTTAACACCGTGGACAAGTACCCCATAAAATGTAGAACCTCTCTCGACTTGCCTTGTCTGTGCCCGAAGCGACCTTCATATCGAAAAGAGTTGTACTCCTTGATTCAGATAGCTGCCCTGCTCACTTATTTATATATATATATTATAGGTATAGTGATACTTGAAAAATTTAATATATGTGTCATTTTAAATTAAGTTCATGCGGTACTTTTGATAAATATATATATATATATATACTTTATTTCATAATAAAATTTTGTTTTTTTTTACTAATATCCACTGGAAAAACTTATTGAAATTATTTAGGATAAGTGTATGAATTACTGCTGATGCGCCAATTACTGCGATTTTTATAAAATTAGTAAAATTTAGTAATTGAGAACATAAAACTGTTTCAAAATGACTTTAAAACTTATTACAAATGATATTTGATATTATATCCACTAATGATGCATATTTCGACTATTATCAAATTATTTATTCAAGTTACAATTGAACCTATCACAGTAATATTAGAGAATGCGTATATTTTTCGCATTCTGCTATTACTGTGGTCTATCCAGTCAACCTAACCTCTAAATCAACACTTTTAGCGTTACAGTAATTGGTCCGCACCATTCGCAGTAATTCATGCAAACTTGCAGTAATACCAGCATATGCCATTTTTAAAAAAGTTAATATTTTTAATAATATATTTGTTATTTCTTCAAGTTTAAAGTATCGTTTTTATTTTAAAATAGACACTAATAGTGATTTAACAAAAAGAATTAAATCATTATTTTATTTACACTTTTATTATTTTATCATTAAAGTCGGTCTTGGGTTGTACATCACAGTAATTGGGACATTTACCCTACCTAATGTGTAGGGAAAAAAAGATTTTTCAGAATTCTTAAATTTTCTCTAAAATGAAAAAATATTTCCAGAGGTACAATTATTTAGAAATGATAGGTGATGAAAGGAAGAAACATTGCTTTTTTATTAGTATTTCGCGCAAAAATTATAAAAAGAAAGCAGAAAATAGTAAACTGTGTTCTTTTCTAGTTCATTCAGTGGCCACTAGCTTACACTGGCGCTGCCTTCTTGACTACTGCAACGTCTGTTATTCGCCTCCATGTTTATTGTTATTTTCGCTAACAGTTCTTTACAATAATAGAAAAAAAAATTTATTTCTTAACTTTACTGCCTTTTTTATTTAAATTTACCATTTTATTAATATTCATATTTTAAATTTAAAGTAATTCTTTAAATAATTTCATTTTCGTTATTTAACCATTAAAGTTTGGTGGTTTAATTTTAAAAAATTTTAAACATTGCATTCAATGAAAAATTAAAAAATTATTAAAAATTATTAATCTTTATAGGAGCATTCTTCATAATCGCATTTCCAAAATCTAATTCTCCTCTTATTGGGTGGAACAGTGTGAAAATCAGTAGCATCCTTGTCAATTTTTTCCACTGCCATTTCGCCTTCCACTTGTTGATAATAATCTTTTTTACACAAAAATCACAAATGAGAAAAATATTCTATATATATATATTATATACACACGCGTGTGTAATAATGAATATGAATTATTTTAATTTTAATTTTTTTTGAAAATATTTTTTTAAAAGCCATGGATAATATATGTAAAGTACCGTTTTCAGGCCTGTATTTCAAATTTATGTCCTGCTTGTTGCAAACTATGTTTGACTCATCTTCCACTGACTTATTGTGAGTTGTACTCCACCTTACTGTGGAAAGAAAAATGTAAATGACAGTGTGCAATTATATGGGAAATTTTTTAAAATAATTTTTACTATAATAATTATTATTATTCATAAATATGTAATTATTATAGTACATCATGAAATTTATAATTATATATTCTAAATTATAAAAATATTTTTTCTTAAATTGCAAATCATATATAATATGTAGATATAGAAATCGTATAAATGAAATTTTTTATATTAATTAAGTAATTTAAATTAATTTTTATTTTATTAAATTGATAATATTACTTTTATTACTATTTTTGTAGGGAACAAATCGGAAAATTCTACTAAGAGATTGCATTTTAAAACTGTAATTTTTTTTTGGTTATATTGCCAAATTGTCAAAGTATATATTTTATAATAACTGCGACGTTTGACGCAATATTGAAACAAAAAAAAATTCAAATTAAAAAAAATTAATTTGTTT